GTCCTTATCTCTTACTTTACATGGCTTATGAAGAGAGATAAATTCTTGTCTTTTTAAAAAATGTATTTATTTGAAAGACAGGATTTAAACACAGAGGGAGAGACCGAGGTGGGGGAGATCTTCCATTTGCTGGTTCACTCCCCAAATGGCTGCAACAGTCAGAGCTGGGCCCTTCCAAAGCCAGAAGCAAGGAGCTTCTTCCAGTTCTCCCACGTGGGTGGCAGGGGCCCAAGTACTTAGGCCATCTTCTGTTGCTTTTCCAGGTGCATTAGCATGAAGCTGTACCAGAAGTGGAGCAGCCAGAACTGGAACCATCACCATGTGGGATACCAGCATCTCAGGTGGCAGCTCAACCCACTGTATGCCACAACACCAGCCCCAGTACTTGCCTTCTAACTGGAAAGCAAGAATATTTATAAACATAATACTAACAACATGAATTCACAGGGATTTTTCTCCGAATATCTTAATTGAATTTTCCAAGAACTTTTTGAAGACCTTTATATTGAAGGGAAAAATAAACAGACAAGCAGAGAGGATAGGATTTTGATGAAACCACCTGGAAGTTCCTCTGAATTCTGTACTAGTAATCTATTAGTAGATTTAAGCAAGTGCATTTAAGTGACTAAGGAGAACAACTGAGGGTTTTACATCTTAATGATACACTGTGGCTACTTTGAAGAAAGGTACTTTTTCTTTCAAAGAATTGAAAGCAATTTACATTTATTAGAGAAAGTTCAAGGCTTAGAAATTCTGGAGTTCTTCTGGATCAGGTTAGAGATAACATAAGTAATCAAATAATAAGTATTGTCATTTTTTAAGATTTTATTTATTGGGGCCTGTGTTGTGAAATAGCGAGTTAAGCCACCACCTGCAGTGCCAGCATCCCATATGGGCACTGGTTCGAGTGCTGGCTGCTTCATTTCTGGTCCAGCTCCCTGCTAATGTACCTGGGAAGGCAAAAGAAGGTGGCCCAAGTCATGAGACTCCTGCACCCATGTGGGAGATCCAGAGGAAGCTCCTGATTCCTGGCTTCAGCTTGGTCCAGCCCCAGACAGTGACTATTGGGGAATGAACTAGCAGATAGAAGACCTCTCTCTGTGTAACTCTGCCTTTCAAATAAATAAAAATCTTATTTTAACTGTTTATCTTATTTGAAAGCAGAGCTACAGAAAGGGAGAGAAAGAGATCCTCAATCCAGTGGCTCACTCCCCAGATGGCTGCAATGGCCATGCTGGGCCCGATCCATACCACGAACCTGGAACTCCATCCCTGTATCCCAGGAGGGTAGAGGTGGCCCAAGTACCTGGGCCATTTTCCACTTCTTTTCCAGGCTCATTAGAGGGAGCCAGATGGGAAGTGGAGCAGCTGGGACTGAAACTAGAGTCCACATGGGATGCTGGCATCATAGGCCATGGCTTAACTCACTGTGCCACAATACCGGCACCTGTGTGTCCTGGTTTTTGTTTAATGTTTCAGACAGGCACTTGCCTTAAAAATGTGGGGCTTAGTCTTCTAATATTACATAGACAACACAGTATGCCTTAAACGTGTTGATTATTTAATGCTCTTCACTTAGAAATTCTTTATTTTTGATGGTATGGATCTCATTTATTTAAAACAATATTTCTCACCTCTCAAATTAAAGACTGCAAAAAATAAAAGCAGTGCTTTCTTGAGCTGTCGTTTATCTTGGGACCAGGTCGCTGCCTTTCCACAGGGAACTGGGCTCCGCATACCCCTCTAATCCCACCCCGCCTACAGAACTGTCCGAAGTTTAACCAATAGAACTGCTGTGCACGTGTACATTAGCAAAGGCCGGCCTCGGAGCCCGAGTGTGCCCTCGAAGCAAAGCCACAGCTGGGGCATCGCCGCTCCCTCGAGGCAAAGCAGCACATGAACCCAAAGGAAGGCGGGATGACGGGCCAGAAGATGCCCAGGCAGGTGAAGCCCTCCTCCAGCATCCCCACAGCGACAGAGTTGACCGGGTAGCAGGTGACGACCCGGCTGTGGATGTTATCCACCCTGGGGTGGTGGGTAGGTAACCCTGTGCGAAGTAGGGGTAGGGCCGCGGTGTTAAGGTCGAGAACGCCCACCGCCCGAGGAACGACTCCAAAAGACTTCTCTCATGCAAATTGCAAAGGTTTTTTTTTTTTTTTATTTTTTTCCAGCATGCTGGGGCTCTCTGATCAGACCAGAACAGAGCAGCCCCAAGGAACTATAGCATAGGGTTTATAAAGGCAAAAACTGCAAAATTGGGAGGGGGAGGGATGCACGGTTGCTATACACAGTTGCTAAGATCAAAAAGAGTACATAGTTACTGGGGTCAACATAACCTAAGACCTAGGTGAAATTAATATCCATCATAATCTTGACAATACCAGTTACAATCGTACAATTATCATTTATGATTTTGACATTAATCCAAATTATATGTAAGACATAGACAAATTACATCTTTATTATTAACCCAGGTAACCCAGGTGCAACCTTTTTACTTTTAAGCTTGAGCAATCACGCTAGGGGGTTTTGTGCTCTGCCAAGGGTGATGCAGTGCACTGCTATTGTCCGACTATTTGAGATCATAGTTTCAGACCAGAGTCTCACAGTGTGTGTGGGGGGGTACTTTCCCAGAATGCAGTCTCAAGTGCTCCAAAATGGAGTCCCTACTGTCAAGGTGCTACTTCAGCGGCAGGGAAGCGGTGGGGATGGCACCATAGCCATGCGGGCTGCACACATAGTCGCCTTGGCCGGTCTCCAGGTTGTAGGAGGGCGGCCCGGCCCTCTGCCTGCTCCGGCCTGGTGGTTCTCTTGTTCGCCCCGCGGGGACACGGTGGGGATGGAGGAGATGGAGGCCCAGGCGCTCGGGCCTCCGGAAGGCACATGTAGAAATTCTTGTTCTGGGGCCCTGCACCCCATGGGAGACCAGGAAAAGCACCTGGCTCCTGCCTTCGGATCAGCGCAGTGCGCCGGCCGCAGCGCGCCAGCCGTGGCGGCCATTGGAGGGTGAACCAATGGCAAAAGGAAGACCTTTCTCTCTGTCTCTCTCTCTCACTATCCACTCTGCCTGTCAAAAAAAAAAAAAAAAAAAAAAAAAAAAAAAAAAAAACAAAAAAAAACACCTCTTGTTCTGAAAGATTTGCTGGCTTTGTTTTATGGTTTATAATTTTAATTTTCCAAGTTACGATGAAATACACACCAAATTGCCATTCTGACCACTTCAAGGCGTACAGTTCAGTAGAATCAAATACATTCTCATTGTTGCATAGTTTTGAATTTAAATTTTTAAACACAGTTGCAACTAGGTTAAAACTGAGGTGCAAGTATTCGCAATGTTTCCATGACTACACTTCCGCACTGGATTTTTCATTGTTACTGTGTACTATTGCACTGAGGCAACTACAGGAATGAGAACTGAAGCTCACCCTCCTGCTTAGGACTGTGTGTGATGTAGTGATTTTAAAGAAATCTAGAAGCTTGTTGAGTCACCAGATTAGCCCCACAGGGAATCTGCTGTGTACAGATGTCCTTATCACAGAGGATTTTTTTTCTTGGTGTCTTTTCTCCCCTTAGATGATCATCTTCCCTGCAAACTGAGTTACATGCACTATATAGGAGGGAAATACCAGAAACGGGCAGTTCTGAATGAAACGTAATTTCAGTAATTTGTGACTTACTAAAGTAATGGCAAAGTAGGTCAGAGTCAAGCATATCGAACTTGGTTTTGATAAGCAGTGTTTATATAACTTGAAGTTTTGATTTATTTGAGAGGGGGAAATGGGGAGGGGACAGAGCAAGTGAGAGGGGTCTTCCATCTCTGGTTCATTCTCCCAAGGACAGAACAACCAGGGCTGGGCCAGGCTGCAGTTGAGAACCAGGAGTTCCATCTGGGTTTCCTACATGGGTGAGAGGAACCCAAATCTTGGGCCATCATCTGCCTCCCAGGATGCACATTTGCATGAAGCTGGTTCAGAAGTGACCTCAAACAACAGGCACTAGGATGGGGGATGCAGGCATCCCAAGCATCAGCTTAACCCACTAGGCTACAAGTCAGACCCTACCAAACTTAAGGTTATCTCAGAACCCAAGAAGTCTTCTGTTTTCACTTAAAAATGATTTAGGCTTTACCAGCAAAAGGACCTTGATTTTAGAAATAGCAGTGAACTAAAGTCACATGTCACTCTGATCTACAGCACAACTTATCAAACCGCTAGAAGGAACAGTTTTCTTTTGTTTAGAGGCCAGTGCTCTGGCATGGAAGGCTTAGTCACTGCCTGCGGTGCTGCCGTCCCATTTGGGTGCTGATAATGACTCGTTGCTGCTCCTCTTCAGATCCAGCTTCCTGCTAATGTACCTGAGGAAGCAGCAGAGATGACCCAAGTATTTGGGCCCCTGCACCCACGTGGGAGACTCAGAAGACATCTCTAGATTTCTGTCTTTGTCATGGCGCATGGCGCGGCCCTGGTGGTTTGCTGCCACCTGGGGAGTGAACCAGTAGATGAAAGACCTCTCTCTCTCTTTCCCTCTCTGTAACTCTGCCTTTCAAATAACTAAATCTTTTTAAAAATTATTTTTACTTGAAAGGCAGAGTTAAAGAGACGAAGAGAGAGAGAGAGAGAGAGAGAGAGAGAGAGGTCTTCCATCCACTTGTTCTCCTCCCAAATGGCCACAAGACCAGGGCAGGCCAGAGCCAGGAGCTAATTCTGGGTCTCTTTTTGGGTGCAGGGGCCCAAGCACTTGAACTGTTCTCCATCTTCCCAGCACATCATCAGAGAGCTGGATCGAAAGTGGAGAAGCTGGGACTTAAGTCAGTGCCCATATCATAGGTTCCAGCATCATAGGTGGCAGCTAAACCACACTCGCCCCAGAGAGTTTTCTTATTTACAAATAAGTTAATGAAACGGAAGATAGCGAAATGTTTTCTACCATCTTGAAGAGTCCTGCTTGAAGTGACCAGACTTTATAAAAGAGGTTGGGCTTAATACGTTATAATCGCTCACGTTTTGCTTTCAAAATCATTGGCTTAAAGCCATTGACGACATGAAGGATCCAACGGCATCGACCACATTGTTTATCGGTCTGGGATCCCTGCGACTTGGAAAGGCTGCTGCACAGAAAAACCATTGGCTGGGAGGAGGGGCTGAATGTAACCAGGTCTACGTCATTTCCGGTTGCCGAGTTACCAAGGAAACCAGAGGATCTTGGGCCAGTCCCGTTTGGCAGACGAAGAAAGTGGTGGTGTCTCCGTCTAATCGGGTACTGCTAGTATCTTTGGCTGGCTGCTGTTTAAGTCTTTCCTGTTGGTGTGCCCCAGACTCCCGTATCTTCAGTGTCCCAGGGTTTGCTCTCCCGAAGTCTCCCCCTGGGCCCCTAGCCTATAGTTTTATAATCCTGTATGGGATTAATCTCTTCCTTGGAGCGTCTGATTTGTCTGCGGTTAATGCTTGTGTCTGATTGAAAAGGACTCATTGCCCACCCTGTGAGCTCAGATTCCCGATGCCAGCACTAGCCAGTTCCTGTACTACATGTGTTTCCCGCAGTTTGAAAGATTTTGCTATTCAATGCATAAAATGGCTTTAGGTCTATTAATTGAATTACTTAGAGATGGGAAAAGGAAAGAATTTTTTTAAGAAGTAGGTTAATACTTGTTTCTCTTCTACTTTTAGTGCAAGGGACCACACTGTAAAAGGGAAAGTTAAACTATGAAACTGACAAAAACCATGAAACAAATGTGTTGAGTCAGTAAAAATTCAGTGCGGGGAAACAATAGGAAGTAGAGATTCCGATCACAGAAAATCTTAGGGTTGTCTTGGAGTTGGAACCCATCTTGGGGGCTTTGATTCAGAAAAACAGACCAGTGTGTTGGCAGCCAGGGTTCCAGGCTGAGAATTGAGGGGGAGATAAAGATGAGAAGAATAAGATGACTTAGTGTGAGAATACATACTCAGAAAGGAGCTTGGGCACATTGTAAAGTGAGCTTCGACCTTGGGGTCATCCCTTTATAAGTGACTGCAAAGCATAGGGGTTGGTGCTTTTGGTGGAGTTTTGCAGGACAGGGTAGATATATCCAGGAATCTTGTGACTGTCTAGTTCTGGCCATCTTTAGGAAGTTTACCAAGTGTTAGGGCATCAGGTACATGATGGAAGTAAGAGTATCAGCCTTGGTAATTTCTTTACAACTATGCAGTAGGCTATTGGTCACCACAGGAACATAGTGGGCAGCCATGTTGCATGTTTGGGGCAGGCAGGGGTTCTGGGAGCAGCTTTGCTGCACTGATTTTTAGATTGTCAGCCTCGGGAGGAGTTTTAGGGTCAAACCTGTGGGGAGGGTTTAGTGACGTATTTCCTGCATCTCCTCTGATCCCTGTTCCCTCACCTCTAACAAATGGCAGAACTGTTACAGTTGATTTGACAGTGTCTCCCAAAGTAGATAACATGCCTGCAAAATCTTTGGTTTATCTGAAAAGCAGTGACTGAAAGATCCTCCATCCACTGGCTAACTCTCCAAATGCCCTCAACAGCAGGGACTGGACCAGGCTGAAGCCTGGAGCCAGGAATTCCATACACATCTCCCATATGGGTAACAGGAGCATCTTTTATTTTCGAATTTGCAAGTGGTACCTGGATGTAGTAAGATACTTAATTTTCTTAGCAGTGGTTTAATAGTAACTTTTAGTATCTTTAAAACACCTGAATTACTTTCACTATTGCTTTAATTGGAGGCTCATAATAAGTGTGAATCTATCTTACTTGCAGCCTCTCCCTCCCCTTCCCTTTCTGCTCTGGATTGTGTCTTCTTAAAACTGAGTGTTTTACCCTTTAATTTGCCCTCTCTTGCAGCTTTAATTTACCCCTTTATACCACATTGTGGTTTAGAATATCCTATATTAAAAAAAAAAAAAAACCTCTCAAATCCATTCCCATCCTCCTGCTACCATTCCATCTTTCTGATCCCTATAGCACCCCAAGAAACTGTTACTGTACTTCCGTGGTTTAACTTTCTCAGAGCCTGAATCCATCCCAGACTTTTTTTGACTGCTACTCAACTGGAACATTACTTAGCAAGGTTGTTGAAGCCTCTGTCTGGGCTAATGTCATTCTTAATTCTGAAGTTACTTGTCCATCCAGCTCTCGCTCTTGCTTTCAAATAAAGTAAATATTTAAAATAAAAAAGCTCGCAAAATACATAAATTTAAAACTTGACCCTTGGCCGGCGCCCTGGCTCACTAGGCTAATCCTCCGCCTTGTGGCGCCAGCACACCGGGTTCTAGTCCCGGTCGGGGCGCCGGATTCTGTCCCGGTTGCCCCTCTTCCAGGCCAGCTCTCTGCTGTGGCCAGGGAGTGAGTGCAGTGGAGGATGGCCCAAGTGCTTGGGCCCTGTACCCCATGGGAGACCAGGAGAAGCACCTGGCTCCTGCCATCGGATCAGCGCGGTGTGTCAGCTGGTTCAGTCCCCAAATGTCCACAACAGCCCAGGCTAAGCCAGGGCAAAGCCAGGAGGTTGAAACTCCATCTAGGTCTCCCAAGTTGGTGCAGGGGCCCAAGTGTTTACACCTGGGAAAGCAGTGAAAGATGGCTCTTAGCAAGGAGCTGGATCAGAAGTGGAAAAGCTGCGACTCAAACTGCAGATCATATGGAATGACATGGGGTACCAGTGTCACAGGCTGTAGCTTAATCTGCACCAAGATGCTGGCCCTTCCACTATGTT